GAGGACCTCCTCCTGTTGGCCTTTCTCTCCCTGGATCATGACTGGCCCTCCTTCCTGTAGGCTGCCCAAGAGAGAAAGGCCAACAGGAGGAGGTCCTCTTTTCCTGTCTACATTTCCATTCTGCATTCTATTATGAAACACGTCATGAATGATTTCTATCAACTGAGACAAATTCCTGTAAACCCTTCCAACTGCAGTTTGTGTCAGATATCTGGGGCCAGCTAAGCAGCACATACCATATTGCTGTAAACAGCTGAGTTAGATAGAAATATAGGCAGTATACCATACAGCTGTGGGAGAGACAGGCACCTCCACTGTAGGCCAGACTTCAAGATGTGCCTCTTCCCATGTATCACTTTCTTTTGGGGCAATACAGCGGGGGGGGGGAATGAGTAGCAGGCTCAGCATGAAGAGCAGGATAGAGTGGCAGAGGTGAAATGGTGTCTACTAATACCCTTTCTGGAAACCCACAAGCACACATCCTGAGCCACTGAGGCATCATCTGAGCTACACATAGCCAGGAATCTATAGGGGAATTGATCCGAGTGCCCCAGTTTCCCATAACAGTCTTCTGTAGCATGCTGGTTACATGATCATCTCTCTAATAGCATTCCCACCCTACTCTGAAAGAAGGACATTCTAGTTCCCAAAAGGTATGAAGCTTGCTACTTAAATTTATCGAAGTTCTTAAGTATGCATTCCAGCATAGGTCATTGTGCTTCTGGCTACACCCAAAGTAGTTAGCCAGCTAACGGATTTGCCCTTTTAACCCACACCACAAATACCAGAGCTAAGAAAGCTTGAAGTTGATGTGATCTGCAGCAACAAAACCAGGTTGATCCCTCTGAGCTTCTGTATGGGTGACACAGAGGAGAAAGAAAGGCAAGAGTAGGACAGCCAGTAGTCCACCAAGCCAGGTAACAAATTCAAAAGTAATCAAAAAGCATGGGTGCTTCTGGAAAAACACAAAACAGACAGACTAATCCCAGGGCCTGTTAACTCTCCAGCCATCAATTTAGAATACTTTTAGCACCAGGACTGACTAAAACAAACTCAGAGACAAACTCTGACCAAAATTCAGAGACAAAACTCAACGAATTATCAGCTACACCAAGTCCAGATGGCTGCCACATCTGGGCATCTGGGCCCATCACATTGTAAGCTTGGAAGAACAAATTTATAATCAAACCAAAGCAGAAAACATCCAATTTTAAATCTTACCTAGGTCAGAGAGCAGAGCTTTGTTGTCCTGCCTTGTAGCTGCACATGTCCTACCTCACAGTCACTTGCCTGTGGCCAGCTCAAATCAGCAGGGATGTCCTGCCACCCTACAAGTGACTGACAAGGCTGGGAGTGTCTCC